AACTCCAAGTTTTCTTCGGAAAGGTCAACATATTTCAACAGAAAAAAACAGGATCTAGATTCATAATTTTAAAATTTTTTAACACCCCAGACCCTTTTGACTCAGCTGAACTCATTTTTAAAAGCTACCTGAGGTCTGTCAGACTCAGTCCAATTTTCTTTATCAAACCCATTCTGATTTCTCTTGGACCCAGTTCAAGGACAGTGTTCAAACAATACAAATAGAAAGCAATAACGAAACCTGCGCACCAAACAAAAGTTCCCCAAAGAGGAAAAGGACAAAGCAAACGGGAACTCGTTTTCCCAAAGTGGAAGAAAAAAGAGCAGATGGGAACCTATTTCCCCAAAGTGGCCACTGAAATTCCAAATTACCTCAATTATATTCAGTCCATTTTTCAGAAACAATTGGTTAATAGCATTTTTGAACATGAACCCCAAACCAGCGTCCCAATAGGGAGGAGCTCCGAGCTCACTTTTCTTATATGCTGAGGATCCTACTTCCTTCAGTTGAAACTTTGGTTTCCCAGAGCCACATAAAATTTCTAGTAGGGAGTCAGTTGCAGGCTTTGGTGAGTGTTTAGTTTTACAGTGTTCCTTCATTGCATGAGTTTTTTTGTGGATGGCAGGCAGCCTAATGTCACTATGCCCATCTCATGCCCAGCTTATCCTCACATGAGTGTCTTTCTGTTGGTGGCAAGTGCCCTAGATGCCCTTAAGTGCTCAACTCATGCCCACTGATTTTTGTGGTTTAAAAAGGCTCTAAGATTCCTCTGTAACAACTGTATGAAACCTAGTTTCAATTTTTATGAACCTAGTTCAGTTTTGGTGGTGCAGTGGTTAAGTGCTCAGCTGCCACCAAAAGGTCAGCGGTTCGAACCTACCAGCCACTCCTCAGGAGAAAAATGTGGCAGTCTGCTTCCGTGGATATACAGCCTTGGAAACCCTATGGGGCAGTTCTGCTCTGTCCTATAGGGTCACTATGAGTCAGAATCAACTAGATGGCAATGGGTTTGGTTTTTGGGCAGTTCATTCTGCTGGATAGAGACCTAGTCTCTTAAAATTTCAAATTAACTTTATTTAAGGAGCTTCGGGGAGCTCAAGACCTGAGAGTTCTTACCATACGTCTGAACAGACCAGAGAGAAGCAGAGAGCAAAAAGATATGCTCTATGGGTTCAGCTCCTGATTCCCTCTTGAGGATTCAGGGACATGGGAAGATGTCTTTGAGGTCTCACTTCTGACGCCAAGTTTCTGTTAAAATAAAAATCCCATTAAGCCAATTATAGAAATTGATTGAAATTTAATATATGACTCGCAAATCGAGGTAACATTTCTACTAGAGAGTCAAAAATGTTCCAAAGAAGAAAGACCTTCCAAAGATTCTCATTATACCCCATCTTACCAACATTGTCATGGAAGAAGTCCTAGAAGTGTAAAAAAAATAATTTGTGGTCAGGAAGGATTTCATTCAGCACTGTCTTGAAGCACAATAAAAACAACTACTGATTTACCCTAAAACATAGCTCTAGTCTGACCTTCAGAGTTTGTTGAAACTGCACAAAATTTCTTTCAAAGAGCACACTGCCTAAGGCAAAATATTCTTTACTAATTAATCTAGGCCATTGTTTGACTTAAATGTGACTTCAGGAAACTAGTACTTTCAAGACTCAACGTTCAAAGATCAACTCAGGGCGAAAGCTTGGGTGGGTGGTCACCTAAACGTCCACGAACCCCAGATTTCTGGATTCCACCAGAATTAAAACTCCGTTTCTCAGCAGGGACGTATGAGTCATCACCGGGGAGCCCGGCTCGGATTCTGGGCCAGGGGAAGAGCAACCAACTATCCAGAAAACATGATGATCACAGGGTGGGGCCTTTGCGCTGGCCAAGCCGAGGCGACGCAGTAAACCTACATCCGCCACGCAGCTCGGCCAACATGTGTGCCCTAAGCCAACGACCGCCATATCCACGCATACGCCTCGTTCTGACGACACCGGCCCCGCCCCGTGTCGACCCGCGAACGGGGGCGTGGCGCCACGCTCGCGCAGCGTCCTAGTGCCGTGCGCGCGGTGAGAGGCGGGGCGGTGCGCGGCAGCTGGCCGGACGCGGCGCGCGGCGAGGGGCGGTGCGGTGCGCGGTGAGGTGAGTAGTCTTCCTGTGGGTCCACGAAGCGCGGGAAACGGCTGCGCGTTCGTGTTTCGCGCCTTGTGTCTGCCGTTTAGCCTCGCGGACCTGCGTAGGCGCGGTGTCTCCAGGCTGCACCGGCCAGTTTGAGACCCGGACCCAGGCGGGCCTGGCGGCTGCTCGGCAACCTGCCGGGGCTGAGGGCGCGTGCGCCCTCCGCGAGGCTGCCGGTTCGAATCCTCACTCTGGAGTTTGGGCTCGGCAGTAGCTAGCGCTCAGGAAGCAGCTTTTGTTTGAACTCGAGTTTGAGGAACCCAGGTTGGTGTGTGTGTGTGTGTGTGTGTGTGTGTGGCTTCTCGACGGGGTGGCAGACTCGTTCTAAGCTTCAGGGGTGTGGGTGTGTGTGTTGGGGTGACGCTGCACTAGCTGGTGACCTGTGGATGCACGACACGCTGTGCTGCCATCTCCCCACCATCGAGGGTATGAGGTGGAACTAGTTAACTTTGCATGTCTGGGCCAGGAAGTGGGCGTGGTCGGGGTAGGGGATGGTGGGCGAGAGGACCGGGAAGACCTTAGTGCCCCTCTCCTACCAGGCTGTTCACACTTCGACTTTTCTCCCAAGCATCTCCAGAAGTAGAGACTTACACTTTTCTCCCAGGCATCTCCAGAAGTAGAGGTAGATTTATCTTGCTGGCTTAAACTTTGCATTCCAGCACGTTTAGTATGAAGTATTTTACATTATCTACTGTAAAGAACCCCCGCGCATCTTTCAGTTTGTCGTATTGTGGAGTGGAGGCTTGCGTGTTGCTGTGATGCTGGAAGCTATGACACGGGTGTTCAAATACCAGTAGGGTCATCCATGGCCAACAGGTTTCAACTGAGCTTTCATACTAAGACAGACTAGGAAGAAGCACTGAGCAGTCTACTCCTGAAGAGAATTAGCCAGTGAAAACCTTATGAATAGCAGTGGAACATTGTCTGATATAGTGCCTGAAGATGAACCCCTCAGGTTGGAAGGCACTCAAAATATGACTGGAAAAGAGCTGCGTCCTCAGAGTAGTAGACCTTAACAACATGGATGGAGTCAAGCTTTCGGGACCTTCATTTGCTAGTGTTGCACAACTCAAGATGAGAAGAAACAGCTGCAAATATCCATTATCCTTAGAAGCCAAGATGGTGAGAAAGTACATTTCACATACTTTGGACATGTTATCAGGAGGGTTCAGTCCCTGGAGAAGGACAACCATGCTTGGTAAAGTAGAGGGTCAGCAAAAAAGAGGAAGACCCTCAATGAGATGGATTGACACAGTGGCTGCAACAGTGGGCTGAAACATAACAAGGATTGTGAGGATGGTGCAGGACCGGGCAGTGTTTCATTCTGTTGTACATAGGGTCCTATGGGTCGGAACCAACTCAATGGCACCTAACAATAACAACTATGAAGAAAGAAAGATGTGGCAAGTTTATCCTATGGTACAGCTTCATGTTCCCCTCTAGCACAAACAGGTAGACAGCTGGACAGAGGTGGTCTTACTTGTCTTTGTATGTTAGGGGTACACCAAAGCAGGTGGAGGTTAGGCCTACCACAAGACCCCACCCAGTGAGGCTGTGATAGGACAGGGCTGGTTTCCATCTCCTGTGTGTCCGTGACTCAGTATGGCCTTGGCTGCTGCCTGCATTGTACACATTTGGCTTTAAAGTTAATGCAGTTTCATTCATTCTTTCAACAAATATTTCCAGTCTAGGTTCTAGACCAGAGCTGTCAAATAGAATCCAAACCACTTACGTAATTTAAAATTTTCTAATAGCTATATTTTAAAAAAAGGTAGATGAAGTGAATTTTAATAACTTTTTTTTATTTGACCCAGTATAACCAAACTTGTCATTTCAACATTTACGTAAATAAATTACTGAGATACTCTTTGCGCTGAGTCTTTGAAATCCAGTGTGTGTTTTCACTTACAGCACATCTCAGTTCAAGCTCACCACATTTCAGGTGCTTAGTATTCAGGCCCATGTGGCTAGTGACCACTGCATCAGACAGCACAGTTCTAGGTGCTGGGAATACCACCAGGAATAAAACATACAAAAATCTCTGCCCTTATGGAGCTTACATGAGGAGGGAAACAGGAAACAAGTGTAAATATATAGCTTTTTTTTTTTTTTAGATGGCAAATGCTATGGAAAAAAATAAAAATTGGAGAGGCAGAAGTTCCAGGGGAGGGTTGCAGTTGTAAATCAGATAATCAGGGGAGGCCCCACACAGGTGACATTTGAGCTGACTTGGAGAGGGGGAGCAGTTGAGCGGTGTAGCTGTGTGGGAGAAGAGCCGTCTAGATGCAGGAATCGGGGTGCAGAGGCCTGAGGCTGAGTGTCTTGGAGCGTCCAGGGAGTACGAGGAAGGCCAGTGGGGTAGAGTGGATGAGCAGGGAGGGGGAAAGTGGTAGGAGATGGGAGTGAGGACAAACAGGGCAGTGGGGCCGCTCCCATAGGCCATGGAAGGACTTGTGTTTATTCAGAGAAAGGGAGAACCTTTGGACAGTTTTGAGCAGCGGAGTAACTGAGTTATGTTGTAGTATTTAATAATGGACTTACTGATTATATTATTTTATGGTAGACTTATTTAACAAAAAGTTAGCCTCCTGCCCTGAGTTGGGGTGGGCCTTGGGGAGTGGGGTAGGTAGATCAGGGGTTCCTTCAGGGGTCCCGGTGCAGATATGGAGCAATCCTGAGTTGGGTTCGGGGAGAGGCCCGGAGCTCTATTCAGGGAGAAGCACTCCTAGCTTTCCTTTTGCCCGTTTTGGATGAGGGTTATAGGGCCCGACACATATCTAGACATAATAAATTTCTAGGTGCCAACCACAGCTGGTTCCCTTCTTTACCGGTGCCCTTTGGCTGCAGTGAGATCAGCTTGGTTTAGATACACCAGGGACGCTGCTGCTCTGGGGATAAGAAGGGGTTGCAGGAATCCACTTGTGTCCTTGCAGGACCCCCTGTCAGCTTGGGGGCAGCGGCGGCCCGGATCAGACGAGGCGGGAGCATGACCATGTTCTCCGAGCAGGCTGCCCAGAGGGTCCCCACCCTGCTGTCTCCACTGTCAGCCAACACACCCACCTTTGCCCGGGTGCCCGTGGTGGCCTACACCAACTCCTCGCAGCCCTTCCGGCTTGGGGAGCGCAGCTTCAGCCGGCAGTATGCCCACATTTATGCCACTCGCCTCATCCAGATGAGACCCTTCCTCGAAAGCCGGGCCCAGCAGCACTGGGGTAAGTGACAAGTTTGGGAGATGCTTCCCCCACCACCACCCAGAAAGCACCTGGGGTTTCTAGAAATACTGTGCAAGAGAAGTGGCAGAACTAGAACATTAATTTATCCCACTTAACCTTAGGAAAGGAAGCCTGGTGGCACAGTGGTTAAGCACTTGTTGCTAACAAAAGGTCGGCGGTTCAAACCCACCAGCCACTCCTTGGGAGAAAGATGTGGCTGTCTGCGTCCATAAAGATTACAGCCTTGGAAACCCTGTGGGGCAATTCTACTTTGTCCTGTAGGGTTCTATGAGTCAGAATTGACTCAACGGCAATGGGTAGTGTTAGGAAAGTTTCCTAACCTCTTAATGCCTCAGTTTTTTCATGAGGTGATGGGGGGATGGGTTAAATCAAATAATCTTTGGGTTTGCAAATTAAGGTGGAGTTCAGAGGCCGGTGAAGTCAGGGCTTAGTTGAGTTGTGAGGATGATCGTTTCCTCAGCATAGGGAAATGGCTCCTACCTTCAGTGTGGGTCGTTGCTGATGTGATCTCGAGCCCTTGTGATGTGGTGTGATGGACCACACCATGCTGAGGAAGAGGAAGGAGCGGCCCACCCATTCCCAAGGAGATTGCCTCTTCCCCAGAGTCCTCTGTTTTCACTTACCACCTCTGTCTGCTTCTCGCGTCTCCCGCGTTTGGGCATAGGAATCTCCTGTCCCTTGGAACTGCTCTTCTGTCTTTCCTGACAGACTGGCCTGAGGGACTTGAATCTTTTATCTTCTCCATTTCTTCCTTGGTCATGTCTCCTGCAGTTGGGTTACTCTTGGTGGTGAAGCAGGAACCCCATCCCCCACTTTTATTTTCGGGTGAGGTGCATGAGGGTAGTTTTCCATGTAGTTTTCAAATTCGTCTCCTACTATGTTTTTAAACAGATTTGTGTAGGCTGAATGTCTGATTAATTTTTATTATCCCCAGTGCCAAACTTGGCGGATAATCTCAGCTTACACCAAGTTGGTCAGACTCGCGTTTTCTTACAGCCAGGTGCAAGAAGCCATGTGACACCCTAATCACTTGACTTAAAAATTGCCTAGCTAGATCATCACATTCTTTGGGGACATTTTGTTTTCTACTTTGCCGCAGGCGAGAGTGCTGTTACACTTTCCACGTCTACCTAACAAGGCTCCCCTGTCCTCCACTTCCAGTGCTGCTGTCCTCACTTAGCAGTGGAGCTCTGGCTGGCAGACTCGATGGTGGGGAGACGGCAGTGCAGCGTGTCCTGCATCCACAGGTCACCAGCTAGTGCGGCGTCACCCCAACACTTCTCCATGGGGCCTGGCTTCCTTACAGGCTCAGCCTGCCCCAGAACACATTACTCCCGTCACTTGCCATTGGCTTTTCTTTCTGCCTGGTATGCTCTTCCTCGTCTTCCCAGGGTTGGTTCTTATCCTAGGATCTTGGCTTAAATATCACGGGCTTTGAGAGGACCCTCTCAATCAATACGTTATGATGAGGGCCTTTCTCTTTGCTCAATTCCTGTTTGCTTGTGGCATTTGTCACAGCAGCTAATTACTCATTTATTGACTTTCTGGTCTCTCTCCCTCTTAGACTAAGCTCAGTGAGGGCAAGGCTTGGCCTTTTGTCCACTGTGATATGTTGGTACAACCCAGACTGGACTGAATGTGGCCCCGCTGTCAGGTACTAGGGTGTCTTCAGCTGGGTAATGGGAGTAAATACCCACTCTTCGCATCGTTTGAATGTTACGTGAGTGACAACATGTGAAGTGCTCAGCACACGGCCACCTGGAGCAGAATAGTGGTCAACACGGTTTGGATATTTTGGGGATCTGTGGAGTTAGGGGTCTGACATTTCTCTCCTGTGCTGGTGCCTCCTTACCGGGTGTTGAATTTCTCCCGCCACTCCCCCGTGCAGAGGTCTGTGGAATGGACTCGGTTATATCAGGGCATGAGAAGATGGGATTATGCTGGACACAGTTCACTAAGAAAGGGCTAGTTCAGCACCTACATATGTCTCCGCAACCTAAGCTTTATCTGCAGGCTTTGGAGACCTTCCGAAAGCTTATTCCTTTCTCTTTCCTCTACCAAGTCAACAAGCACTGAAGACTCCACCCCTGCACATGCCCCTCTTCCACCCCCTGCTCTTCAGCACACATGCTCCCCCACCTCCTAATCCTGCACATCACTCTCCCCCATGCCCCAATCCTGCACACCACGCTCCTCCACCCCGACTCCTGCACACTGCACTCCTCCACCCCCACTCCTGCACACTGCGCTCCTCCACCCCCACTCCTGCACACCACATTCCTCCATGCCTTTCTTTCAGAACATCCTGAGTCTACATGTTCTCCTGTCCCCCAAAGATCTCACTCAGGACGCTGCTGAGAGTCCTTTGCCGACATCACAAAGAAGGGATGAGGCATTGGACTAACCAGGCAGCTGGCTCCACAGGAACAGGGGGATAGGAATATGAAGTTTTATATTTCAGGTATCTGTGACCTTACAGGACAAGGCATTGGTTGGTGGAAGAAACCAAACTCTTAAAAGAAACTGTACTATTTTTAGGGCAGGGCTTTGCTGAGACCTAGCAGTACATCTCTTTCCAAGCGGGGTAAGCGGAGTAGCACTATGCGTTAGTTCCAGTCTGTGGTTGCTGTAACAACTTAGCATGACTGGGTGGTAAAACAAATTTACTCCACAGTTCTGGAGGCCAGAAGTCCCTCGGAGGCTCTAGGTGGGAATCCTCCCCTTGCCTCTTGCAGCTCTGCCCGGGAGTCCTGGGCTTGTGGCCACCTCATTCCAAGCTCTGCTCCATGGTCACGTGGCCTCTACTCTGCATGTCTGTCTCCCTCTGCCTTTCCCTCAGAAGGACGCTTGCACATCCAGAGCGCCTCTGTCCCCGTGGCCTGGCACATCCACAGCGCCTCTGTCCTCTTGTGGCCCAGCACATCCACAGTGCCTCTGTCCCCGTGGCCCAGCACATCCAGAGCGCCTCTGTCCCCCCGTGGCCCAGCACATCCAGAGCGCCTCTGTCCCCCCGTGGCCCAGCACATCCAGAGCGCCTCTGTCTCCCCGTGGCCCAGCACATCCAGAGCGCCTCTGTCCCCCTGTGCCATCACCTGTAGCTGCAGGGAGGAGGCTGTTGTTCCCTTGTCCTTGACGTTCTCTTCCCTGGGTTAAGGACAAGGCCCCTGGGCCACAGTGCTCTGTGGTAGGGCCTCCCTGGGGGCCATCAGGGCAGAGAGGGGCTGCTCTCTGAGGTGTGTCCCTGTGCCCAGGCAGTGGAGTCAGGGTGAGGAAGCTGTGCGAGCTGCAGCCCGGCGAGGAGTGCTGTGTGGTGGGGACCCTCTTCAAGGCCATGCAGCTTCAGCCCTCCATCCTGCGGGAAGTCAGCGAGGAGGTGAGGCCCAGAGTCGGGGGTGACGGGGAGAGTGGAGGCTTGCCTCCCTGGAGAAAGTCCCTGTGGGCCACTGATGTGTCCTTGGCTCTGCAAACAGAGCTTCACCTCAGACCTATGGCCTGGACCCAGGGGCTTGGACTGGCCTTGGGAGGGAGGGAGGTCCAGAGAAGGTGGGCTCCGGGGAGTTGGCTGCAGTGCCATCGTGTTCATGGCACAGGTCCCTGATGGGCTCTGGCCTAAGACCCCCTCTCACCTTCACATGCCAGCACAACCTACTCCCTCAGCCTTCTCGGAGCAAATACATCCACCCAGACGATGAGCTGGTCTTGGAAGATGAATTGCAGCGAATCAAACTGAAAGGCAATATTGAGGTGCAGAAGCTGGTTACAGGTGAGAGCAGGCCAGGGTGTGTTGGGGTCCCTCTTCTGTGGTCACATCGGGGGCATGGTGGAGGGCCCTGTGTTTACCGTTGGAGCAACCTGCTGGCTTCAGGCAGGAGAGGCCTAGGTGAGAGACCCACACCAGCAAGGCAGTTCATGGCGTTCTGAGGGCATATTCACCAGTGCGGCAGGAGAACTGGCTGGTTCTGCCCACCTGGGTGAACGGAAGGAGGGGCAGTGCCCCCCGGCCTCCCCTCGAGACTTGACACCATTGCTCCCCAGGCATGGTTCTGGCTGTGTTTGGCTCCGTGGGAGATGATGGAAAGTTCCTGGTGCAGGATCACTGCTTTGCCGACCTCGCTCCTCAGAAGGCAGTGGCCCCCCTAGACACAGACAGGTGAGGAGCGGGCACTCGGGGGGCCTGAAGCAGAGACCCTGTCAGTGGCTGTGCTGCCTCACACTGCCTTTCCTGACGGCCGCCCTGCAGTCTGACCACGCGCGAGCTCCCTGCTCTCCGGTGAAGGAGCTCTGCTGGGGGCTAGCGCATCCCCAGCCTGGAGCGCAGCCTGCTTCTTTTGCACCCCTTACCCAGCTTCTCCTGCAGGTTTGTGCTGCTGGTGTCCGGTCTGGGTCTGGGCGGAGGCGGTGGTGAGAGCCTGCTGGGCACCCAGCTGCTGGTGGATGTGGTGACGGGACAGCTCGGGGATGAAGGGGAGCAGTGCAGCGCCGCCCACATCTCCCGGGTCGTCCTGGCTGGGAACCTCCTCAGCCAGAACACCCAGAGCAGAGACTCCATCAATAAGGTACTGAGCCCACCCTGAGCGAGACCCCGGGGACGCTGAGCATCAGGGACCTGGGGTGGTGCAGCCCTAGGGCGCAGCACCTGTAGTTACACCAAGGCCCCTCGGGGCATTGGCTAGGAGGAGTTGCAGGGTGCACAGGCCCTGGGACCGCCTTTGCCTCAGCCCCACTTGAGGCCCCACTGTACCTCCTCTGCTTCTCCCTACAGGCCAAGTACCTCACCAAGAAAACCCAGGCAGCCAGCGTGGAGGCCGTCAAGATGCTGGATGAGATTCTCCTGCAACTGAGTGTGAGCGAGCTTGGGGTGGGGGCGGGGATGCAGGGTGGAGACGGCAGTCGGTCTGAGCCTGGCACGGGGGCAGCCGTTGGTCTGTGGGGCTGCAGTTAGATACATGGGGTGGGCAGGGAAAGGGAGACTGAGTCACCCGAGCATGACAGGTGCCCCCCTGCCGGCCTCTCCTACACTTTCTGTCCTGCTAGGCCTCGGTGCCTGTGGACGTGATGCCTGGTGAATTCGACCCGACCAACTACACGCTGCCCCAGCAGCCCCTGCACCCATGCATGTTCCCCCTGGCCACTGCCTATTCCACACTCCAGCTGGTCACCAACCCCTACCAGGCCACCATCGATGGAGTCAGGTACCGGAGCAGCTTCAGTCTGAACCTCTGACCTTTGGCCACAGGTGGAACAGTGAAGGGTAGCAGTGGGTCGGGTGGAAGTGGCAGGGTAGCAGGACCAGCCTGGGGACGCCGCCTAGCATGAGCCCCCCCCCATAAGCCTGTGGGGTGGAGGGGTCCTCAGGACCCACTGTGATCCTGGGCATGGACCAGTGGTGGCTGCCTCCCCAGGCTGAGGCTCAGTGAGCCTTGCCTTGCAGATTCCTGGGGACATCAGGACAGAACGTGAGTGACATCTTCCGGTACAGCAGCATGGAGGATCACCTGGAGATCCTAGAGTGGACCCTGCGAGTCCGTCATGTCAGCCCCACAGCCCCTGACACCCTAGGTAATGGCGCTCGCCCCACAGTGGGACCAAAAGGCCAGGGGGACTGGTAAAAGGCCCCGTTCATATTCCAAGGGCTGTCTGGCCCTGATCTGCAGGCGCTAGCCTTGCCCTGACCTGGCTATGGAGACGGTCAGAAACTTGCTACTTGTCCTGGAAGCTACTCTGGAGTCTGTATTCTGTCCATGGCAAGGCCCTGCTCAGTGCTGAAGGACTTGGGAACATGTTGGAAGTTGGGGCCAGTCAGAGCACGGCCGTGCAACCAGTGCTCACCCCTAGGGGCAAAGGCAGGTAGAGCTCATTGACCAGTCTTGACCTCCCCCTCCTTGGTCTCCCCGGGATCACGTAGCAGTGTCTGGAGACGTTCTTGTTGTCATCATTTGGGGTGCTGTGGCATCTGGCAGGTAGAGGCCCGGGGTGCTGTCAATGGCTGTACCATAGGACTCTCCAGTCCCAAACGGCAGTGATGAGAAAACCCTTCTTTTCCTCCAGGCTGCTACCCTTTCTACAAAACAGACCCCTTCATCATTCCCGAGTGTCCTCACGTTTACTTTTGTGGCAACACCCCCAGCTTTGGCTCCAAAGTCATCCGAGGTAAATGTCCTCTGTGAGCCCGGCCCGCAACTGAGAAGACCTGCCCTATGGGATCCCCAGCCACCATGCGGGGTGGACACCAGGGTCTCCAGAGTGGCTGTTGGTTGCTTGCAGGGCTGTAATGGAATTGCAGACAGCTCAGGCACAGCCAGCTGGCTATGCCCGGAGCAGGGCTGGAATTGCACGGCCATGTGGTGGTCAGGCAGCTCTCTGGGCTGTGGTGCCATCAGCCTTGAGCTGCTCCCAGCCCTTTGCGTTTCTGTCCAAAGAGCTTCTGTGTCCCCAGCTGTCCCCATTGTGCCCTGATGGGGTCCCTGTGCACCTCCAGCGACTTGCCCTGGAAAAGGATGCACCTAAGGTGGGTTCTCACGTGGCTTCCTTCTAGGCCCCGAGGACCAGACCGTGCTGCTGGTGGCTGTCCCTGACTTCAGTGCCACACAGACCGCCTGCCTTGTAAACCTGCGCAGCCTGGTCTGCCAGCCCATCAGCTTCTCAGGCTTTGGGGCAGAGGATGCAGAGGACCTGGGAGGCCCAGACCTGCGGCCCTGACCTGCCAGGGCCACCCTGACGAGAGGCCTTCACCTTGTAAATAAATCCTGAACGTTGCTTCCCGCGCCTCAGGCTTCTGGGCTGACTCAGAACGTGCAGAGTGGGCTCTCTCTGGCTAGGGGAACTGCCCTGGAGGGAACCCACAAGGTGAATGCAAGGCTCTGCCCTCCCCAGGAAGCCCCCACTTCCCCATTCCCTCCTCCAGCCTTTCAGAGGTGAGGGAGCCATCTGCTGTGGGAGCGTGTTTTATTGGAAGGGCCAGGCTGGGGGACTAGGTCTGCTGTCCACTCCTTCTACCCGCTCCGACCCATGTCCACCCTAACCCGCAGCACCTTGCTGTCTAGGCCGGGGCGGGGACCCAGAGGTGCCTGGCAGCCTGTGTACAGACTGATTGTTAGGTCTCAGTCACATTCTGGCCCCCTCAGAGGGCAGGACAGCCCCCCAGAGGAGGCTGCGTAATTCCTAGCCAGGCCCACACCGTGCTGGAGGCTGGTGAGCTGGTGGGCTCAGGCAGTGCTGCTGCCCTGCCCTCAGAAGTCCCCAAAGTTCACAGTGTAGGTCTCAGCCGTTGTGAAGGGGAACTCTGGGCCTGTGGCCAGCTCTTCCTCAAGGGTGAACTCGGTCCCAAGTTCTGTCACCACCTCTGTGTAGGTCTCGGTTTCCAGCTCCTCCCAGCTGCCAGTGGTTGGGGGTGAGGTGTTTCTGGGCTCTGGAGCAGAGCTGGGGGGCAGGGCGGTGGAGGGGGTTGGGCCCGCGGCCGTGGTCACGGTCGTGGTCGCTGTCGCATTGAGGCGGCGCAGACGCATTTGCTCGCGCATTCTCAGGCGGTACTGCAGGCGACGACGCTGCATCATCCGCTGCTGGGGGGTCATGGGGCGGGACGGGTCGATGCGGGGGATGGGCCGGTTCCCGTTCATGGCCATGATCTCCCGGATGCGCTTCCAGTTGGAGCGTGAAAGTACAAAGTTGCACTGGGTGGCCCCGATGTCATAGTCTACGTTGCAAGTCTTGGAGCTTGGGGTGTAGCCCTCAGCGTGGGCTGTCACACGGTACTCGCCTGGGTTCAGGATGCGCCAGTAATCGCCCCCTTGTGCTGCAGAGCAAGGACCAGTGTGCTGTCCCAGAGCGCCTGAGGCCCGCTCCCCCTGTGAGCCCTCCCCCAGGCCTGCTCTGCCAGTCCTCTGCCGCTCAGGAAGACAAAGTGGGCCCCTAGGGGAAGGTGGGGTACAGGGTGTGCACAAGCGTACCTGTCTTCACACCGTGGTTGATGCCGCTCACGGAGATGGTGGCGTTGGCAATAGGGATGCCTTGCTCGTCCGTCACCACCCCTTTAATGCCGCGGTGAACCTACAGGGCGGGGACCAGCGGGGCTGCTGCTTACGCTGTGGCGACGGCCTCCGTGGACCACGTAGGCGCTGGCCCAGCCCTTGTCCTTCCTCTCCATGATGCCTCCGCCCGCAGCACCCACCTGCTCCATGAAGGTGAGCAGGGCTTCCTTGTTGTTCTCCCACTCCCGGGGCAGCTCGCTCTCATGGGGGAACTTGTCGCAGCCCAGGTATATGGAGAGCTCCAGGCAGTTGGTGTGCAGGTAACTGAAGTCATTGATAGCTGGGGCAGGGACAGACAAGCACAGTCACCACCCCACCTGTACCCTGTCTCCCCTCACACCCCCCAGGCCTCACTCACTCCCCGATCTGGGGTTCCACTTGGCCCCATTGACGATGCCCCTGCCGTTGGTGTAGTCCTGGGCCTGGCACCCTCCCCGGTAGGGCTCAGTCATGGTGAGGTGCGTGGAGGCAAAGGAGATGGCCAGCCAGCGGAAGATGGCATGGTCTGGGGTCTCCTGGGCCTCAGATGCCTCATCCTCGTCTTCTCCCCGGGCAGCCGCCATGGCTGCGGCCAGCAGCTGCTCCTGGGTTGGTGTTCGGGCCATGTCATAGGGGTAGGACACGAGCCGCTCGCCACCGTTCAGGTTCGCCCCCAGCACAAAGGGATTCTTCTCCATCCAGGAGATGATGGCCCGGACCTCCATGGACACCTGTGGGCCGCCATTGGGGACACGTGAGGCCAGGGCTGCAGCTCTGAGTCACCAGGCACCTGCCTCCATGCCCCTCTGCAATGGGCAGATGGCAGACAACTGGGGTTCACCCCCAGCCCTCCGAGCCTGAGCACCTAGAGTTCAGCCGCCCACCAGCTACCCTGAATTCAGTCCAGAACTCTGAGCCTGGCCAGGACCCCAGGGCTCTGCTGCAGCCTCACCGTGGCATCTGGGGAGAGGTAGCGCTCAGGAATGGGCAGGTTGTTGTTGGGGACACGGTAGGGGACCCATTTCCTCTCCTCGGCACCCCACAGCACAGAGTTGAGATCTGGGAAGTCCTCAAAGATGTCAAAGCCCTCCTCGGTCCAGAGCCCCAGCGCCCAGTTCCCAAATTCTGAGCCCTGCAAGGAACCAGCCAGTCAGGGCCTGCTGCCCACCTGCAGCCCTGCCCTCGCTGTCTGCCCCACCTACCCACCATCTGTGCGGCGACCTCGTAGCCATCAGGGTTCAACGAGGGTACCAGGTGGATGCGCGTGTCGTGCACCAGGCTGCGCACCCGTGGGTTCCCATCACGGTACTCGCGGCACATGTACTGCATGAGCTGTAGCAGCAGCTCCCGGCCCAGCACCTCATTGCCGTGGATCCCGGCTGTGTAGCGGAACTCGGGCTCCCCTGCAAGGCAGGAGCCTCAGCAGGCACCCAGCCACCGAGGCTGGTGGTCTGAGGGAGGGAGGCATGGTGGGTGGCGCAGGGGGAGGAGTAGAGGCTTGCAGGGCCCAGACAGACAGACCCAGGCACTGAAGGACCCAGGAGACAGCTCAGCTGAGCACAGGTGGGAGGGGCAAGCCATGTCCTTCCTGCCTGACTCGACCACATGGAGGAGGCGAAGCGAGGATAGGACCCTGGCAACACGTATTTCAGCCTCTGAGGGCTCCGTGGAGGGCAGGGATGGTGCCGGGACAGTGTCCCCCTCCTGCTCACCCAGCTCATGCTCGCCAGGGTTGTCCGAGATCTCCATGGCGTAGATCTTCAGCCCGCGTGAGCTCTTGCCCAGGCTGTATGTGCGGGTGATGGTGGGGCACTCTTCGTTCACCGCCTTCATCAGCTGCCGGGGGTATGTGGGGGCCGATAATAAGAGCCCACCCCAACCCAGTGGGCCCCAGCCACTCCCACTGTCTTGGGGAGGGGCTTCTGCTTTAAGAACCTCCAGAGGAAGGGGCAGGAGGGGCCGTGCAGGTGACCCCAGCACCTCTCAGGTCCACTCCGAGGTGCTAGCACTAAGTGGAGAGGGCCCTGGGGAGCCCCTGGGCCGCTCCTCAGTCCTCACGCGAGGGACTGGCAGCTTCCCTCTTGGGGATCACCAGGGTCACATGGCTCAACCCTGGTGATGGGTGTAGTGATCACTGAGTGCTGGGCAGAAGTACCCCGCCACCCCCCCAGAAGCCCTAAGGCAGCCCCTGAACAAAAACCACACTCCCGAGCCCAGAGGAAGGGTCCTCCCCACCTGGCGCATGTCCTTGTAGCTGTGGTGGCGGAAGTCCAAGTTGTCAGTGGCCACCACCTCATTCTGCACATAGTAGCTGTAGACAGCTGTAGGGGGTTGGGGAGACGGGGGTGGGCCGAGCAGCCAGCTGCCTTCAGGCCCCCTCTCCCCTGCACTGTTCCTTCCTCCTCTGAGCCCCGTCCCACCCTCATCCAGCACTCACGGGCCAGGGGGCAGCCCAGCACCTCCAAGCGCATGCAGAGGCTGCCATTCCAGGTAAGCGGGTAGATGCGGATAAAGCGGGCCACCACCGGCTCCGGGAACTCGCTCTGCACCGGCGTGTCCTTGTCCACGTTCCCATGGAAGGTCTGGGGACAGGCAGAGCCTCAGAGGACAGCCACCCACTTGGCTGCAGACCATGGGACAGAGCTGGGCTCCGGGAGGAGGCGCCCACCATTTCCTCATAACCGTTGCTGTACATCGTCCACGTGTGGCTGTCATTGCTGAACCCCACAAAGAAAGTGGTCACAAAGTCGTCGCTGTAGGCAGAGTGGACGTGCCAGTCAGAGCGAGGCCATACCTCACTACCCGGGCATCAGAGGGCTCAGGCCCCTCCTCTGCTGGAGCTAGACGGGGTCTCGCAGTGTGTGGACTGGCCACCAGGAAACCCGGGCAGGCCACTCACTCCCTCTAACCTTGTTTGCTCATCTGGAAACAGCTTCAACTTGACAGGGCTGGGGAGCAGTGGTGCAGTATCTGCCCCTGACTTATCTCTAGGGGCCTTCCCTGGCTAGGCCCAGCCCAATGGGATGTCCCAAGTGGGATTCACGTGGGGCCTGGAGGGCCCCCCTCCCCCTCAGCAGCGTACTGGATGCTGGAATCACGGCCTTGGGTGATGACGCCGGTGAACCTGGTGGTCCTCCTGGTGTCCACCTCGATCCACTGTGTCTGCCCATCATCCTCAGCACACCACGCCCCGTCGTAGTAGTCATCTTCGTCAGCCCCTGCCTGCAGGGAGTGGGCAGGGAGCCTGAGTGGGGGCGGGGGGGTCCCGGCCCAGGCTAGGAGAGGCTACTAGGATGCCCACCTGCATGTTGAGCCGGCCACGCTGTGCCCCCAGGCCGTGCCGCAGCATGGAGGAGGCACGGATCTGGTTGTCTTCAACGCGGTGTGACTCCATCCCAACGGGGGGGCATTCTGGGGACACGGCACCCCAGGCTGCAGGCCCGTTGACTCCACCCCTCCCTCCACCATACCTAGAATCCAGGAGCCCCAGGGCCCACACCTGCTGCATCAAGGAGGAGGAAGGCAGACCTCAGCCGGACAGTGCCCGCTGGACCAGTGGGCGGCGGAGCCCCCAGCCCCCTGATGCCCTGCTGGCCCAGCCCACCCCAGATGTGCTCTCAATTCCCAGCCTGTCCCTTCACTTCCCAGGCCTCAGCCTCCTCATCTGGAGAATGGGCCAACAGTGCCCAGCTCTGAGGAGGCACAAGGCTCATGTGAAATGGCTGGGAGACCACCCCCGGAGAACATGCTTAGCTAGAGGTCACAGATGTCCTCCTCAGAGACGGGGGTCTCTTGCTCGGCCACCCCAAGGCCCCGTCCTCCCTCCACCACACCCACCAAAGCTCCAGGGCCCCAGGGAGCTCTGCCCTGCCCTAGCAGCCCAGGTTCAGAGCTGCCTGCCCAGACCTCAGGTGGAAGCGTCTGCACAAGTGAGGCTGCTCCCAGAGCCCCCGGGACTTAGGAGCAGGCAAGGGTTTTGTGGTGCAGGAGTGGCCACCAGGGAACTGAGACCTGGGCTGCAGGACTCTGACCTTGGGCAGGTCACTGGCTCCCAGCGCCCCACCCTGGAGGAGGGACTCACTGATTTTTTCCACTGGAGCCCACTCCTCCTCCTCGCCCTTCCGGGGCCCTGTGGGGCAACAAAGGGAGGGTGTTGCTAAGGGCCCCAGAACACCCAGGAGTTCAGATGCACCCCCCCCCGACCTCAGCCCCACAGGGACCCCTCACCCCCAACCACACCCCCCCACCTTTGTGGTCCTTGCCCTTCTCCACAGCCCACTTGTCGTCTGTCTCCTCCTCCTTGGGGCTGCTGCCCTCCTTTTTGGGTTTCTCTGAGGGTGAAAGGGAGAAGGGCCTGTCAGCTTAGCCTTGGGACTGGGGGGGGTGCATGGGGGTGGGGGGCAGGGAACAGGAGTTTGATCCCACTCACTCAGCGTCTCCTTCTCTTCATCTGTGTCCAGCTTGGCATCCGGCTTCCGAGGCTGAGGAGGTCGGTAGTAGTAGTCCACTGTGGGAGGGAGAGGCCTACTGAGAGTGGCCCTGGATGCCCACCCCTTGTCCTCGGCCTGGGGCACTGCGAAGGACCCCAGCGCCTGGGCTCACCCGGCCACGCTGCCTGCCAGGCTCCCGGTCTCACGGGACTCAGACTGAGTGGGGGGGTGCAGAAGAGCAGTGGGGCCAGGGTGGGCAACAGGCTTGACACAGGTGGGAATGAGCAGGACCCAAGTAAGGTGGGCAGCCTGGCCCCACAGGTGTTTGGCCCTGGGAAGGTGGGAGATCAAAGCTGGAGGGAGCCGGGCATGGGGCATGGGAAGGCCTGGAGTGGTGGCTGGGCCACACCACCGACAGTGTCAGGGCTTTGCTGGGCAGAGGGGAGGAGGGGAACATTTTGACCAGAAGCCATCTGAGGAAGTGTTGGCCTGGCCACTTTGGGGAGCCTGGGGCAGGGGAAGTGATGAGAACCTGATAAGGCCTGCAGCCCTGGGAAGGTAGGGAAAGCAGAGGGACCCACCTACAGGGGAACCCGACAGAGCAGAAGGTATCAGAACATCAACAGGGCAGTGTGCTGGGAAGGTAGGGGCAAGGAGCGGGTTCTTCTGCAGACCCAGGACACCCCCAGGGCGGTGAAAGCAAAGGCGGGAGCCAGGGCAGTAGCCAGGAAAGGATCACCCTAAGGGGGAAGAGAGCAGGTTGGGGGTAAAGGCTGGGGGGCACGCCAGGCAGCAGGGGGCAGCACAGTCCCCACAGCCAGTCAGGCACCATGGCCTAGTCTCTGACTCCCAGACGTCTGTCATGCTTGCGCCCTCAGACTAGCGGCCAGGTCCTGGGCACTCACTGTCATCGTAGTCGGGGATCACATAGCCATCACCATAGTCAGGTCTGGGTGGGGGCTGTGGGGGCTCCAGAGGCTGCTCTGTGGATACGCGGGGCAGGGTGGGCTCAGAGTCCTCGGGTCCCCCACCCCTAGCCCCACGCCCACAGGCCCAGCCCCCTCCACCCCCAGCTCCCTGCCCTCCTGCCCAGCAATCTCTCCTGCCTTGCCACCCTGGGCCCCAGGGAGGATGCAGCTGTCCTACCGATCCCCTCTTCTGGGCCCTCGACCACCAGCCGGGGCGGTTCAGTCTTTTCCTCAGGGACCTCAGGCCTCTCGGGCCTCCTCCTGCTCGGCCGGGGCCTGGGCTTCTTCTGGCGCCGGATGTACTCAACTGAGGAGGAAGGGGCGCTGAGGCAGGCCACCGATGCCCCCAGGTCAGAGGTCCCGCCAGGGGTCCCAATGCAGACACAAGGCGGGGCCCACCAGGTGGTGGCATCCTACTCACAGTCCTCGTAGTCCTCACGCTCTATCTGGTCATTATAGTCCAGCGTGGGCATCTCCTCCTCCAGCTCTAGGGGGAAAACGCTCACAGCTACCTAGCTGACGACACACACTGACCAGGCCACCCCCACGCTGCCCACTCAGGAGCCTCGGCAGCCACCCACCCAGGACACACGTGGAAGCCCAGGATACTAACTACTCCTAACTATGTGGCCCCGGTGGGCTGGGACTGTCCAGATTTTAGACCAAAGTCCTGAGTCCTGGGAAACTTCTCAGTCCCAGGCACACTGGGGCAGTGAGACACCCTCGGTGCTGAGGCCAGGGCGGCTGCTGCCACTCACCAGGCTGGTGCTCCTGCGACACCAGACTGGTCTCCTCTCCTCCCGGACCCTGCCAGGGGCTTGGGAGGGCCCCACCTGCAACACAGAACCCCCGGGAGCAGGTGGACAGGAGGCCTTCCCTGGTCACCTTTAGAGACCCCAGCAGAGGAAGGGGGGCCTCAATGTCTTAGCTTCTGTTACCCACCCCCTGGAAGGCAGGAGGGAGCCCTGCAGGCTCAGACCCCAGAGACACATGGGGAGGATGGTTCTGGGTGGGGCCAGGGGACATAGATCCCAGGGCAGTGAAGAACAAACCCAACAGACAAGGCTACCAAGGCCTCTCCTTACCAAGTAGGGGCCTCAGCACTGAGGGAACTCGCCCATCAGATTGCCAGAGTTCATTGAAACAAGGCCCCAGAGGCCTCCCCCGCCCCCCATTGGTGGGGGAACTTGAGAGTCTGCAGGAAGCAGTGGCCCAGGGACCCATCTTACCCCCACCCTGCCCACGGCCCAGCAGTAGGTCAGAGCCCTACTAGTAGGAAGAGCCCCACTAGTAGGAAGAGCCCTAGTACACACCTCCCTCCTGGGGTAGCTTCCTGGGGCCAGGGCTGGAGGGCAGCGGCAGTGGCCACTCCAGGATCTCCGAGGGGGTTGGGGTGGGGGACCTCTTCCCAGCTATGGGCCTCTTGGTGGCTTTGGGTGGCTTCTCCTTAGGCTTCTTGGTGGCCTTGGGTGGCTTCTCCTTAGGCTTCTTAGTGGCCTTGGGTGGCTTCTCCTTAGGCTTCTTTGTGGCCTTGGGTGGCTTCTCCTTAGGCTTCTTGGTGGCCTTGGGTGGCTTCTCCTTGGGCTTCTTGGTGGCCTTGAGTGGCTTCTCCTTGGGCTTCTTGGGTGGCCTGGGGGACCCATCTGAGGGCAGCTTGGTTGGTTTGGGGCCTTTGTCCTTCTTCCCTTTCTTGCCTTTGTCTTTAGGCTTTTCCAGAGGTGCTGTTGGAGATTCAGAAGTAAGTCAAATGAACAGAAACCCCTCCATGCCTCAACAGCCTGGGCACATGGGCTCTCGTCAGCTCCTCATACAGACCGGGAACTGAGGCTGAGACGCTTGCCCACGAGGCAGCGCTGGCATTTGAACCTGGTCTAGGACTCTCACCACCACATCATGGCCACTCTGGGGACAGAGCATGCGACACTCAATTCCCAACGAGAAGGCCCTGGCTCCCCAACTGCCAAAACCTCAGCACAGGCCCCTCGGAACCCACTTCTTACTGCATGCCCACTCACCAGCCTGGGAGGGGCCAGAGCAGGCCAGCCAGCCAGCCCTGGAGGTGTGTGGTCCAAGGGGTTGGCGGCAGCCTCATTCCTCACTAACTCAGGAGGATTAATGGACCCAGGGCCCTCCCTGAAGCCTCCCTGCAGGGACAAGAACAGCTTCAAAGGAAGGGGGACGTTGGGTGAGTCTTAAAGCTCAAAGAAGAGGAACTGTTCCCTGGCAAGAAGCAAAGGGGGCAGGGCAGGTAGGAGGCCAGTCGGGGGGTCCCGGGGCCTCACAGAGGACAGAGGGACAGCAGGAGGGGGCTTGGGCCTGCTCTCCATCTCTGCTGCCCTGGCCTCACTCAGAGTGCTGGGGAAGGAGTAGGGTCCAGGTATGGGGCCTCCCAGTGGGAATCCTCCCAGGATCCTGAGCATGACCCTGAGCAGGAGCTGCAAATACACCCCAGAGCCCAGTACAGACCTTGGAATGGGAGCAGGTTGAGGGTGGGGAGGGGCTCTAAAGAGGCAACGTGGGTTCCAGGACCCGCCCCTGAGGGTAGGGGGAGGAGCCAGAAAGATCTAGAGCTGAGACTGCAGGGGAGGCCCCCCCCCCGCCCCCGCGCTGAACCTCAGAAAAAATGGATGGTGCCTTGGAGTCTCCTGGGAGAGACAGATAAACAGATCCTTTAGACAGCTAAGATTTATTGACAACTGATTATGTAAGAGGCCTTCAGTTAAATGCTTCGGTGATGCATCACCTCATTTAACTCACGTAGTAATCCAAGACTACCTACTGCCCCTGGGAGCCTGGGGCGGGGGGGTGTCTTCTGCAATCCCCTCCCCTGCCTCTGCACTCCTGGAGTAGGAGACCAAAGGCAGGAGGGTACTGCTGGGTCCCCTCCAAGGGAAGGCCAGAGTGACCCCATTAGGACAGCAGGGCTGCGACATTGCACAGACCTGGGGGGCGGGGGGCGGTGAGCAACATCCCCATTTGGCTCAAGCCTAGACCCTCAAGGGGCCTGGGACTATCTACGCCACCGGTCCCCAGAGGCGTGCCTGCCCCTGTGCTGCATGAGGCTCCAAGCCCAGAGAGCTATAAGCCAGCCTGGATCGCCTCCCCTCGTATCCCGCAAAACATCGGGCTCAGCAGACGCTGGTGTATTACCGAGCGGTTCTCAAGGCTGGGCAAACTAGGGGGTGTCCAGACCCTGCCCGAGCCGCTCCATTCTCACCTGAGGTCCAGGGCGCCCCCAAGCGCCCCCCTGCGGGCCTCCCAACACCAGGTTCTTACCTTCTCCTTTCGCCCCCGGCCGCGCCGCCTTTTTGCCCCCCGCCTGGGCTTTGCGGACACGTGGGGTGGGCTCAGGGGGCGGTGGGGGCTCTAAGTCCTCCTCTTGGGGCTCGGGCTCCAGCTCGGACAGGAAGCCCTCGAGGAACTCCTCGATCTCATCGTCAGTCAGCACTGTCTGCGGGCGCCCCCCGGGACACAGGGCCAGCAGCGCCAAGAGGCAGCCGAGCAGGGACGCCCCGCGCACGGCCGCCATAGGGCCGCGCTCGTGGGGGCTCCGGGCAGGGTGTCCAGCGAGGCGCCCCGAAGGGCCGGCGACGGCAGATACTCCCGGCCCCGCGCGGCGCGCTCTCCTCCCCACCGCGTTCTGCACCCCGCGGACCAGCCTCTCCAAAGCTCGAGCAGCGGCCGGGGTAGGGGCCGGGGCTTCCGGAGCCCGGGCGGGGGCGGGGGTGCGCGGGGCCAGGAGGGAGGAGCCGGCGCGGACCGCCGGAGCTCCGGCGCGGGGCGGGCAGTCTGGGCGTCAGCCGCGCACTTGGCAGCTCCGAGGCGCGAACTGCGGGGAGTGGCCGGGCGGGAGCCGGGCGCCCGGGACAGAAGGCCTAGGGGCTGGGGACCTGAGGGAGGATCCGAGCGGTCTCGCCGCCCCTGCCGAGCTCCCGGCCCCCCGCACCTCTCCTAAGCCGGGACCCGGAGGCTAGACGTCTCAGCCTAGCTCTCTGAAGTGACCCGGAACCGCAGGGAGGAGAGCCTCCGGGACCCTCTGCATCTCCGAGGGCCGCCAAGGGACGTGAAGGGCTCCTGAGCGTGGTTCCCGTCCCTTCCACGTTTCTGGAGCTTTGAGTGGGCCGGGCTTGGCCAACTGTCACCAGCCCCGGCCCAGTGACAATCGGGCCTCAGTCAGTCATCCAGCAGATTCAGGCACTGCTTGGCAGGGGAGGGACAGAGGGTGGTTGAGCAGAGGTTCCAGGACTTTGGGAATTCAGTTTCTATACCGAGGCAGATGCAAAACTGTCGTGGGGTGGGGGGAGGGTATTAGGAGCCAGTCGTATAAGGGCACGACATCGACCCCTCCCCTCCCAGGTCCTGGCGTAAAAGGTCAAGAGTTTCTTGCCCACTCCTGCACTCCCCCTGACCTAAGGAGGGGCCCCTGAATCTTGGAGAGGAGAGAAGCTTGGAGGAGGTCCCTGCCTGTTTATCTGGCCTCTCCCTAGAATGGAGGGAGCAGCCCCTTGTGTAGCTAAATCAGACTCAAGGCGCAGGTTCATCCGGCAGCATCTAGGAGCCCAGCCCCATGCCAGTGATACCGTGGATGCAAAGGCACAGGAGACCAAACACTGCCCCTGAGGACCTTGACCAGCCAGCGGAGAGGACATGTGCACTCCAGAGCTGATGTGAAATGAAGCTGTGTGTTCTGAGTACCATGAGAACGATCCCAATCCCTTGCCCCATAAACACAAGGTATAAATATCTGGTGTGCCAAGAGGCCCCTGAGTTCCCTTGACTCACCATTTCCCTGACAGCTCCTTTCACTGTTTCCTGCAGTTCATGTCCCCCACCCTGAGGGGTACAGTGCTTTCCCATTAGTGAGATCCCACTGTGGACAAAGCAGCCATTTTCTCCCTCCCCTTACCAGAACCTGTCTTTTAAAATGGTGTTTACAGTAGCTGCTGCTGCCATGTGGACGCAGGGGCACATGAATTGGATAGTCAGAGAATCCCAGGATCGATCAGTAATGTCTGCCACAGGTTCAGCACAGAGAGTTAGGAGGTGTATGCCTGGTATTTGCCATAAGTCTTCTTGAAGGGCAAATGTTGGCTGGCCCCAAATGAGCATCGCAGCTAAGGCCAGCGCTCCCAAAACATACGCCCCCTTGAAGGAGTGAGGATGCAAGAAAAAGCACAAATGGGGCCTGCTGGTCAAGTTCAGGGACAATCACAGCCCTGACAAGGTCATCTGTGTGGGTCTAGGCCCAGTGAAGCAGTCAAGTGGGAGAACCTGGAAACCCCTGGTGTGATTGACAAGTAGAGTTTGGTCCTTGGGTCAAAGGGAGAGGAAAAGCAGGCCAGGAAGCATCTGGATCCACAAGACACAGCCCTGACCAGCCAGGCAGGCTGCTGTGGGGCTGTCCTGAGACTGAGGCAGGAGGAGGGCACACAGGGCCCCTCTGAAGAGGCACGCTTCGACAGACCCTTCCTTCTTGTCCTTAAAAGGGCAGTATGGTACTGCGGTCAAGAGCTGGTCTCTGGAGTCAGTCCTAGCTCTGCCTTTCCCCACTATCTGCTCTTCAAGTCCACTCCCACTGGATAAGGGGGTCACTGACAGTGCCCGTGTCAGGGCCACAAGAGTGAAGGTCAGCGTGCTTAAGCTGCACCACACACACACACACACACACACACACACACACACACACACATGATCAGTGCTCATGGCGGGGTGCCTGTCATGTTGGTCATCTCCCTTCAGAGACCAAGTCTGCCCAGACAGACTTTCTTGTCCTGCCACGTGGCCCCAGACTGGTCCCGTGGTAGCGAGGGTGAAGCAAGTTCTTACCCATCACTGTCCCTGTAAGCCTCTGAGTCACTGCTCTGGAAACTTCATCTCAGAATGTGCTCAGTTGCACAAGTGTCCAGTAGGGACATCCGGGTTGGGTGAGGGACCTATGGAACGTCCTTTCCTCGGAACAGCGCCTGTGCTCTGCTGGCTTCCCGCACGGATAGGATTTGGCTAACATCCTCCAAACGGGAAAACAGAGGACTTTAAAAACATGAAAATGAAATAGGGCCTTTTCCTTAGCCCCAGTGATTCACCAGCTGGAACATGAGCAAACGCCCTCATGGGAAGCTTAGCTCCCAGGGAGGGGCAGGGTCTGGGCAGGAGGAGAGGGCAGGCCACTGGTCCCTGCTAGGCCCGGTGATCCTGCCCAGTGGGTTCTGCCGGGACCCCCCTGTGCTGTAGATCCCACCCAGAAAGTCCTTTAGATCTGGACCTGGGGCCCTGCCTAGGGCAGGGAGGCTGCCCACGGGACCTATAAGGGAACAGCCTCCCCTCTGCAAGGAGCAACCAAGGCCTGAGGCAGGTGGTGGGAACAGGGGCCACACAGCTCACTGTCCCAAGTCCTGATTGGCCAAGAGCCTCCATGGCTGTGCTCACCCTGCCAGGGCCCAGGTGTTCAGTGCACGCATGCACACACTCTCTCTCTCTCACACACACACACACACACACACACACACACACACACACACACACACACACGAGCACCCCTGGCACTCTTCGTGCAGGTCTGCTAGCCATCCGGGGTCCCCCCCCCCACCCCTACATCACCTAACTCCAGCTTCCTGAGAGAGGCACTTGTGAATTACTGCGTCATGTCCCTCCCCACAGTGAGGGTCTGCCCAGGAAGAAGACTGGGCCAACTGGGAAAGGCCATCTTACCCTGCAGGAGTTTGCTGAGCTACAGCACACCTTGTTAGCAGAGTTCTTGGGTTTGAGGGAGGCTGCACATGGGGGCCCTTGCTTCTCCTGAAGCTGGCTGAAGGGGCTGGTGACAGGACAAGGAAACAAGGGGCGTGGTCTACACCCTCACCCCCTGGCAGGGTGGCGATGGGCCAAGGGCACACCTTTGTGGGCCACTGAGAAAGAATCAGAGGTCAGGAGCAAGGGTCCACTGCGGAGGTCAGTGGGAGAGGCCACTACCATATAGAGGAACAGTCACTGCAAAGGCTTCTGCTGACTGAGGCCGAGGAGGTGGAAGTCACGCAGACAAAGCTGTCAAGTGGGGCACACTGATGGCCAGACGACTAGGACTCCAGCCAAGCACACGTTGCCCTTTCGGGAACCCAACCGTTTCCTCCTCCCCAGCCTGGGGGAGCCAGGAGCTCCCACACTAGGGGGAGAGGTGGAGCAGAAGTGGGAAGGAACAGGTCTGTGAATTGTGGGAGTAGTCCATGATGCTGAGGTCCAGGGTAGGGAGGGAGACACTTGGAACTGGATGAGAAATGGAAGCTTTGATTTAGATTGGACATGATGCTTTAATACCTTAACACAAGACAGCTCTACACCCAGCAAGTGAGAAGAAAGCCTTGGGGTCACTTGGAGGGGCAGAGGAAAAAATTAAGGTGTTCCCTGATTTCTCCACTGAGGTCAGCAAGAGTGTCACTTGTGAAGTTGTGTCTTTGTGTGTGGGTGGGGGACGCTCCGTGACGCTGAGGGGCCAACATCTCTGATAGGGAGGGTCTGCTCATCTGGGCGTTACCCATTCAAATGAGGTTCAAGTTACCATCTGCCTGGTGGCCCCTGCAAGGGGATGAGATCAGTAGCAAGTAGCAAGTTGCAAGGGCTGGGCTGGGACCTGGGAGACGTGGGTTCCAGACACAACCCTGCCACCAACTCACCACGTGACCTCTGTCCCATCCCTTCCTTCTCTGTACCTCAAGGCCTTATAAATGTGGGTGACCACACAGCTGCCTTCCCACCCTCACCCTCCATGGCTCTATCTCCAGCATTCCTGAGCTACTGATAACTCTCCACATCCAGGGAGTGAGGTGACCACCTTAAAGGGGCAGGGTGGGAGGGCGAGCCCAGAGCCTCAGACCCTGGGTGCCCTCTCCCTGAAGATGGTCTTCCAGCCCTGGACAGAGGAGAGGCCCATGTCTCAAATGCACTCTGCCCGCAGGGACACCACATCTCCATCTCAGCTTCCTGAGTGAATGTAGGGAAAGATGCCCCCAGGCCATCTTGCCAGAACCTGCAAGGCCCTGTCAGTAGGAAGCTGCCCCGCCCAGTGTTCTTGTGGCCAGAAAGCCTGCTCATGCCTTTGGGGCAGGCAGGACAGAGCATCGCTCCTCACCCACCCATTCCCCAACGTGATCCACTCACAGTGCAGGCTCCTCTCCCCTCTGCTGGGGCCGACTGTGGGTCATGGGTTCATTCAGCAAGTATTTATGGAACGACCTGAGTATGACCCAGACATTCCGCAGTCAAAGCCTTCCTCTCAGCTTCAGTCCAATGAGGACGGACATCAGCAATGATCCCTCCAGGCAGAAGTGTGTACAGACCAGGCCCTGAGCCGCCTAGGGGGAGAAGGGAGGGGATCCCAGCAGTCTGTTCCCAGACTGGAGCCTCAGGACCAGGCCAAGTCTTAGTCATTTTGTATCCCAGGCCCTGGCACAGTGAGTGGCACAGAATTGGCCCTGGATCCATGCTTATTTAGGATATTTTCCCCCCATTTCTAAGTGAGGAAACTGAGGCTGAAGG